GATGTGCAGCTAAGGGCCACAGGCCACATTTCCAACAAGATATCTCTGCGGGCCATGTATCATAATTTAGCAGTTTAGTCAAAAAGGTTTTGAACTACAACTCCCACAATGCACGCCTCTGTTTACCATGTACGTCAGTTCCGGGCGACAGAATAACCGTCCCCAAAACAAGAAAAAAATTTTTCCTGAAACTGAAGTTGAAGAACTATGTTCGTGTAGAGTCTGATACGCTTTAAGGGGACATTTTAGCTCTGACTAACAGTAAATGGCGCTGAGCTTTACGGCTTCTTTGGCTGTAACTTATAACTAAATATAAGGTTACTGAATGTTGCGCTTTCAAATTTCGCGCTGTTCGCTCCGCCTTTAAAGAGATTAGCCGGCTAGCTTGTTAGCTAGCGTTAGCCATGTTACTTTGAACTGGAGCAGCAACATTAAGTAAGGAGGATATTCTCCTGTTTTGTATAAGTATGCTCTGAGTTTCTACAGACGTCTATAAAATGGAGGTGACGGACATTGGAAACAAAGAGGAGGGGAAAGTCTGGCATCGAAAACCAACAGCAGGCAAAAGGTAGGACTGAAAGGATGCTGATTAGTTGTCTTGTGCACCAGATGCTGCAGGAGTGACACATTTGACTGGACTGTGCTGGAAGATGTTTCTGTAACTTATAAATCTGAGCCTGAAATAACATTGTTCCAATGTAGTTATGTACAGTCCCGCTTGTTGCACCCATCGTACATTCATACAAATATGAACTGTAAACACCTGAATGACACACACTCTATATGTAACATTATACGCTGAAATACTGTGTACTCCCAAAGGATGTCTCTTTAAAAGGGGTAATTGTTACTGCTTTTGTTCATCCACTTTATTTTCAGGGTGTAGTGTAACCACTAGAGAGCAGCCACGATTCACTGAAATGTGTTGCTTCTCACCTGAATTGGTGTTTGAGTGTATTTCCCTGTATATATGTCTATGGTATTTCTCCCTCTAAGGTGTGTTATTTATTTTCCTCAGTGTGTTAGTGACGGTGGTCCGCACTACTCACCAAGCCAAGACTGTGCGTTTCCTCCATGTGGCCTTTGATACCACAGGAGACTCCTTCCTGGCTGGAGATCACCATGGCAACATCTATGTCTTTGACATCACTAGAAACAGGTGACAGACTGTGCTCAAAAGCCCTAAAAATAATAAGTGGTTGTTTATCACTATTTTGTTACAAGGATTTGCTTTACATTAGTCAGCCTCATGGGAATTATGACAAATATTGTGGTCCAGTTATTGTCATTACTATGGCCACATTTCTTATCAATACTAGCCATGGCCATTTTATGTCAACATGTCCGTTCTTCCACCTGAATATGGTCTATTTATTGCAAAAAAATACTTTTATCTTGGTCCCAAATATTCTTTTCAGGGTCACAGACATGACATTTTCAATTGCTTATTTTCTGGAGCAGGTTTCGTCTGGTGCAGAAGACCGGACAGGCCTGCACTGCTCTGGCATTTAGCCTCCGCAGGACCACAGAGTTCCTTGTGGCCCTGGCTGACTACACCATCAAGTGCTTTGACAAAGGTAAGATGAACACATCCACACATTGCTTTATTCTTTTAATGGTTAGAGTGTACTCTGTTTGTTTAATTCCTAGGACTTACAGGATTCATACAAGTTGATTTTTCAGTGGTACTTGTTTCTTTTAAAGCAAGTGCCACTGCTTTCAGACACAAAGCAGGTGGTCAGTTTGATAGTAAGCCAGGAAGGAGTGTGTCACCTGATTTTGTCCATCACTCACCATCAATTTAACCATAAATTAACTTGTTGTCTACCTCTGTTTATTTGCACAGACACAAAGCAGCTGGTCAGCTGGATGCGGGGTCACGAGGGAGCAGTGTCATCCATTTCTGTCCACAGCTCAGGTCGCTATGCCATCACCACATCCTCAGACACGGCTCAGCTCTGGGACCTGGACACCTTCCAGAGGAAGAGGAAGCTCAACATAAGACAGTCTGTTGGCATTCAGAGGGTAAACATCCAGAATGAAAGCGACATTTACAAATATTAGTTTGACCAAATCATGAAGTTAAATATTCATCACTCATTCATTCGGACTGACATAGTTTGTAAGAGTGCTTTTTTGGAATTTGTTTAATTTTAAGCTGTTAAGACTTAATGTCCAGTAAATTTAATTATTCTGTTTCTTTTCACTTTTGTCATGGTCATGGCACACTGTTTGTGTTGCAGGTGTTTTTCCTGCCTCTCAGTAACATCATCCTCAGCTGTTTCAGTGATGACTCCATCTTTGCTTGGGAGAGCGACACCCTGTTCTGCAAATACCAGCTTCCTGTCCCTGACTGCGGTCCCAAAATCTCCTATAAGGCCTTCGCTGTCACACGGTGGGTCACTCACTTAAAAGCCTAACTAGCTCAGTGATTTTATGGTTTTCCAGTGTAGTTCTTCATGACTACATTTCCCACCTTTGGCCTCTAAACACTTCATAAACACAATAAAAGTTAAAGTAAACAGGGATCACAAGGCTTCATCAAACACTGATACTCCTGACTTGTGTTGGCAGTGATGGTAAGAGCCTTGCTGCTGGTGGGCGCTCCAACCTGCTGCACCTGTGGTGTCTAGACAGCAAACAGCTGGTCAGGGTGATTCAGATGCCCACGCAGGTCCGAACCGTGCGACAGCTGGAATTCCTGCCCGACAGCTTTGACGGAGGAGCCAGCCAGGTACACGGATCGCAAGACTCCCCATCTCTTCGGTTCTCCTGCTATGTGATCTTGTTTTAAACATCTTTGATGTCATTTGCCTGGAAGAGGTCCTGTCTGTGTATCTATGAATGTTAAAAAGCCTGTAGTCTGTTTCTGTTTGGCTGCAGTAAGCATGTGCGCCCTGTGTGTTTTTTTTTTGTTTTTTTTGTCTCTATAGACACTAGGTGTATTGAGCCAGGATGGCGTCATGCGTTTCATCAACATTCATACCTGCAAGCTGCTTTTCCACATGGGTTCCCACGACGACGCCATCACCACAGTGGCAGTCAGCCCTAACGGCCGACATGTTGTGGCCATTATGGATAACGGCAGCATCAACATCTACAGTGTTCAGAGTCTCACACAGGAATTAAACAAGGTGACAGTAGGTTGTGATTTTCAAGGTTCAAGATTTGTCTTATTTGTAGATAATAAGATATTGATCTGTAGGTGTATTAATATTGTGCGTGTGTGTCCCTCACCCAGCCTCCTCCCTCCCAGGTGGCAGTTGTCACTGGTGGTGAAGCTGATCAGGACTCATCTAATCTTAAGGTCAAGGTCAGGTCAGAGGTCATTCAGAGACCAGCCAAGAGCTCGGGTAGACGAACACAGGTGAAGATACTTAGACCCCCTGCTGGGTCTACAGCTGACAATAAAGAGGTGAGAACAACAGACAAAGCATTTTCCTTCCCCTGACAAGATGCAGTATTTGAGTAATTTCATAGAGTTCATAGTTTTTATGTCTACCAACAGAATGACCTACCTGCTGGTCTGAATAAGAAGAGACTGGTGGCTATGCTCAAGGCCTTTGGAGAATATCCTGCTAAATACAGGTACAGATTACTTTTACTAGACTTTTAACATGTACTTTGTAAGTTTTAAATCTAATTTAAAGACACACCTTTTTTCACTTGCTTTTAGTTCAGTCTGTCTAAGGCTGACCAAAGGTGTTTGCCAGGTCTCCTCTTAATGTTTTTGTTCTAAAGCCCTTGTGATGCTTTTTAATCCGTTGTTGGTTTAATTCAATTTCCCCTAATTTCCCATTTTATTACTTAAACTTTGATTTTGTCATGCTAGTTGGTGTTTTTTTGTGTTTTTATTGTATTACACTATGTATTTTTGCTTTTTGTGCACCTTTATTTCTTAAATGACACCGGTATTGAGGCAGATAATCTGTTTGCACTGGAAACCACTGTGGGGCAACATCTGTTGTTTTTAAATGTGCTATATAAATAAAGGATTCAAGTAGAATTTATTGTCACATGCAGCAGACACTACAGTGAAATTGAGTTGCCCAGATCCACCAACTGTGCACATAAAAACAGTTTACATTTGAATAAATACACAATAAAAAATAAAAGCTCCAATACACAATAGGAAAATCTTCATCAATTAAACTACTTAATTCAAATAAAACTGTGTGCAAAAATGCCAGCAGGGGTTATCTTATCTGTTGTAAGTTTATAACCACTAAATTGTTTTAACTTGAAGATTTTTACGGTTCATTTATGTGTCTGTATTGCAGGATGTTTGTATGGCGGTCTTTGTTGTGTCTCCCCGAGAACCATGCAGCTTACAGCAGTCTGACTGATAAAGGCCTGCATTCAGCCTACCTTACTCTGCACGATAAATACCCAATAAAAAGTCACAAGCTGCAAAGGGGACTGCAGAGGTACTCTCTCTCTCTCTCTCTCCCTCTCTCTCTCTCTCTCCCTCTCACACACACACACACACACACATAAACACGCAAATGCAACTTAGTATTTTCTTATTTCTGCAGAATTCTGTTTTTTTTTTTATCTATTTTAAAATCTCATGATGTTCAACAAATCCATTATTTGGTTGTTTCCTTTGCTCTGCAGGGTTTTGTCTGCCTTAGCTCACTGGGCAGCTATCTTTGGAGAGGCAGAGTACCTTCCTCTGATAGCCTTCCCTTTCGTCAAGCTCTTCCAGAACAACCCAATGCTGTGCTTTGAGGTGGTGGCCACTGTCATAGGTACTTTATGGTTGTAATTATAAAATGCCATTTTCCCAAGACATAAAACATCATGTAAATATTTGAAATTTAAACTAAACGATTTTGAATATTTTCCAATGTTTTGGGCTACTGCTGAGTCCAGAATCTTTAATTACTACAAGTTTTGAGCACTGAAAATGGCAGCGCGACATTCATACACATAAAACCAAACAACACTGCTTCTCTGTGTTCCCAACCAAAGTCTAAGACTTGTAAAGGATTTGGAACTATTTTTATTTCTCAAACTTATTTTAAGTTTTTCAATTGTGGCTCTATTAGGTATCTATCGTCAGTCTGTTAAATAACTCTGATGTTTGGTTGTACAGTGAATTGGTGTCAGCATTGGTTCGAGTACTTCCCCAACCCTCCTCTGAACATCCTGAGCATGGTGGAGAATGTTCTGGCTCATCATGACAAAGAGCTGCTGCAGCACCTGGTGGACTGTGGCATCACCTCACAGGTAACAGCGGTACACAGCTACACACAGCTGGAGGAGAGCGGTAGTCAGACAGGCTGTCCTGGAGTTCAGTGTTTCACTCCCATGAGATGTTAAGATTTTATTATATATCTCTGTATCTGTCCCAGCTCTATGTGTGGCCCCTGCTGGAGACCTTGTTCTCAGAGGTTTTGACTCGTGATGAGTGGCTCAGACTCTTTGACAACATCTTCTCCAATCATCCTTCGTTCTTGCTCATGGCCTGTGTGGCCTACATCACCTGCTGCCGTGAGCCTCTTCTGCTCTGCTCCCAGAAACAGGACTTTGAGGTCTAACTACCCTCTGAAAATACAGTCAGCCTAACAGTCAGTCTATTATTGTTTCTGTCTCGCCTTTCTTAAATCTGCTGTTTCTTTTCCACTCAGTATTTTTTCCACCACCGTAACAACCTGGATGTGGGAGCCATGATAAAGGAAGCCTACCGGCTCATGGGCAGCACACCAGCTGACATCCATCCCAGGACTATGCTCTCTGATTTTATAGCACTGACCAAAGGCCAGTACCCTGTGTTCAACCACTACCCTGAATTCATAGTGGAGTACCAGAGTAGGGAGAGGGAGAAGATACGACTGCAGGAGATGGAGTATCTCCGTGAGAGGTGATATTACAGAGAGGTTATGGACAGTGTTAAGAAGATATGCATATTTAATTAGCTAAAAGAAGTGTTTTATCATACATTTCAAAGTCATTCATGAGAAAAGATGCAACAGATGAAATTTGTGTTTATCTTATCAGGCAGGAGGTGTCAGCCCTGCGTGCAGATTTTGTGCGTCGCCAAGCTGAAGAGGAGGCCTACTATGCACAACAGGTAGATATGTTTTTTTAAGTAATTTTAGGAATACATTTTGTTGTAATGTATTTTGGTTGTTGTTGTTGTTGTTGTTGTTGTTGTTGTTGTTTTTTTGGCTTGCTCAGATAGTTTGTATGTGTAAAACATGCCTGAAATGGAAATGAAGTGACCTGAATACTTTGATTTATTTAAACAAAGGAGCTGCTGCAGAAGGCAGAGGAGCAGCGCAGAAACATCCTGGCACAAGAAGAGGAAAAACTAACACAGCAGAGAGCAAAGTAAAAGCTCGAGACACTTCACATCTCTGTGGTTAAGTTATGAGAAATACAAGAATGATGTGATTTAGCAGAGTGGGTTGCTGACACTGCTCTGTCCTCTGCAGGTTGGCAGCCATGAAGAGGGAGCTGAAGGTGAAGGAGTTGCAGCTGCTGGATGCAACTAAACGACGTTTCCTCAAACACCAGCAGGACCTGAGAGCCTCACAGGTCCGAAGACTAGAGCAGGAGATCAGTAAAAAGGTAAACTGATGATTAAGATTAATGGTAATCCTTTTATATAAAGGAGCCCACATTAGGAGATCCGGGGCTGTAATCCTAACCTCCACTGGTCAAAGTTTATCATAGTTAATGTGCCTCTGTTTGTTGAAATTATCAGTTATTTTTCTATGGCTATGGACTTAAAGGAATACTTCATTCCCCCAAATAAACATTTATATATCAGTAACTGATTCCTTGTTATGCTGAATTTGTGGAGAAAACTGTTTTTGTTGCATGCCTCCATGGTGATCAATGAATCCAAACACAGAGGAAATTCTTGATGGACTGAAGTGAGACAGGTCTGCATTTAACAACAGCAAAACTATTTTAAAACATCTTTTTACAAACTCACACACAAGTCGTGCAATACAAACAAAGTTTCATTTATCCAGTTGAATGCTCAGTACCTCCCAAACAAACAGCCCGTTCTGATGGGGCGCTGAACAGGAAGTGGAATTCAGCTATGCTCTCTTCAAAGCCAGACTACATCGACAAAAACAGTAATTTTATCTTGCTGAACATGAGAGCTGCTGGTCTACTGCTGCCTTGATCATTTAGTTTGTGTTACTGTGTGACTTTGGTGGATCCAAACTAACTCTTTAAAACAAGAAAGTAACACAGTAGCACCACCAAACTGATGGTGGCAGTGATAGACCAGCAGCTCCTGTAGTTAGTAAGGTAAAGTTACTGTTTATGTGAATGTTTATGTGAGTCTGGCATTGAATACAGCGTAGATACGTTTCATTTTCTGTTAAGTTAACATGCAGTGAGTGGTTTTCCTTTAATTACCTTCAGTTTTGAGCACTAACCCAACAGTAACTTTTATGTTGTGCTACAGATGGATCTGCGGGAGCAAGAAACAGCTGCTGCAGTCCAGGATCTAGAAGTCCGACAGATGGAGCTGGAGGCTCAGAGGAGACGACTTGAACAGGTGATGAACAGCATGCATGCAACCTTATTTCCTTCCTTTCTTCCAGCTTCCTCTTTTGATTCATTTCTCCCTTCCTTCCTCTCTCTCTCTGTGTGACAATTTTTCCCCCGGTGATGACTCTTCTAAACCTAGAGCATATTTTGCTGTAGAAATGCCTGGAAGCATAAAACATGCTTTCTCACTGGACACTGAATAGATCAAAATGTCTGATTATCAAACACAGATCAGCCTGTAAGTTTTCTGCATTAAGAGTCTTACAGTCAAACACAGAGATTCATCAAACAAGAAATAATTAGCTGATGTGATAGTCTAATAATTTTGAGTCTGATGGGCTCTGTTTGTTTTTCCACAACCATATCCCTCAGCACCTGTTTAAGGAGCAGGAGCGCATGGGACGGGAGGTTGAGGAGGAGGTGGAGATGAGGATGAGGAGGGCAGAAAGAGAGGAGGAGCGCTTCACGGAGCTGCTACAAAGCACAGAGACAAACATGCAGGTTAGTGGTACATTCCAGAGTGGAGCCAATGTAAAATTATCAACATATGTCAGCACACGATCTGGATGCACTCGTAAATCTATCTGACGTCACTTTACAAGAAATTATCAAAGCCACACATGCATGTAGACTCTGATTTTGGCACAGGTGCCGGTGACCTTCTCCTCTTGTATTCTAAACTTTCTCAACACACACACACACAGGCCCTGGAGGAGTCCCTGGCGGAGGCGTGCCAGCTGGGCTTGGAGTCGGACTGGCAGAGAGAGGTGGCAGAGCGCCTGCAGCAGGTCGATGCCGAGCAGGAGAGGAAGAGGGAGAGACTGGCAGAGCTTCACAGGCAAACTCTGGCAGAGGAGGAGAGACTGGCTGACACCCTGAGAGATGTGGCAGGAAGGAAGGTGAGAACAACAAGAGTGTGTTTGTCAACACATCAACTTACATGATGTATTGGCTCGTCTACATAAAGTTATTATAACTTAATTTACGGGCCTTTCTGTTACCTTTACAATCAGTGTTACGGAACAGCTCGTAAAAATGAAAAATGCTATTTGTTTTTCCTCACTAAGAAACATCACAACTGACCATCAGTGTCTGAAATACTAAGTATTTTAAGCTTCACTGAAGACAAACTGTGGGATCTGGAAAATAAGCTGTTTGTTTACTGTTAACCAGTTAGCCAGTAAGAACTTGTTAATTTGCAGTGGGATGAAGTGATGAGTACCAGAGCCCAGTTACAGGAGCAGCAACAGCCTTCAGCAGACACAGGTTATTATTCAACACACACATTCACATTTTGTTTGTGGCCTTTTAGCTAAACTGTCCATCATCCAGAAGCCTATTTAATGCTACAGTGTTTGCATTGTGTCAGACGGTGAGAGACAGACGGGGGTGAGGTCACCTTGTTCGACCAAAGGACTTCCTCAGAGACCCAGTGCCAACTCTGTTGTTAATGTTGGGACCAGTGCTGCAGGTCCAGCAGTCAGACTCGACTCTGCCCCCTCCCCAAAGCAGACAGGAGCCAACATGGTGTGTCTGAACAGTAGCTCACCTTCAGAGAGCACCTCCACCAACTGTAAGTCATTGTAGATATACCGAAGGCTACAAAAAGTGTTTTTTTTTTTTTGTTGTTGTTGTTGTTGTTGTTTGTTTTTAAAAAGTGAAGATAAAGTTGAATTTGTATCTGTTGAGACTGGGACTAATCAATTCATCTATTAACTGTCGCAGCTCTACACCCCTATTATCTTGAGTTTCTGTCTCAGTGACGTTGCTGTATGTCCTTTTTTCTTTGCTTTCTCCAGTTTCCCTGGACCGAGGCCGGGCCCAGCTGGACAGCAGTGAGAGACAGCTACTGAAGGAAATCAGAGAACTGAGACAGAAGCTGGCGGCCAGAGCCAGAGAGGGCAGCTCAGCCTCCTCACAGTCTGTCCACACACTGTCCTCTGTCTCACAGTGACCACAAACTGTTCTTTGTCTCCGTACTGTCAGAAAAACATATGCTTGTCTCAATTGAGCTACACAGACAGAAACAGTGACTCAGACTGAGGAGCACACTGGCTAGCTGCTATCTGTTAGTGCTTATATACCATTCTTTAAACAACAGACTATTAAAACAACCAGACTCAAACATGTTAACTGTACATCATCAGCCACTGTCTCATGAAAACCCATGTCTTGTAAAGATTGTTCACCCCATACATATTTTTCCTCTTGGCTGTAGCGCTGTTTATCAAATTAGATTATTTTGTTGTGAGTTGCAGTGTTAGAGATATTGCTCATAGAGATGTCTGCCCTCTCTCAAATATAATGAAACTAGATGGCACTCAGCTCGTGGTGCTCAAAGCTCCAACAAACAACAAAAACATATCTCTTTCCAGAAATCATGACCCACTTACTCAAGATAACCCACAGACCTTGTTGTGAGCAATTTCATGTAGGAACTATTTTCTTTCCACCAAACTGCACCCGCCAACCATATCACTGTGCAGAAGGAAGCATGCATCTACTAATGGATGAAAGGCTTGTGCTCCTGACACCACAAGATGTAAACAATAATGGCGCCCTTCTAAGCTGAGCTGTAACATTGCAGTAGATGTATGCCTCCTTCAGGGCAGTGATATGGTTGGCAGGTGTTGTAAAATAGTTCCTACATGAAACTGCTTATAAGATCTGTACACCAGGTCAGGATTTCTGGAAAGAGACATTACTGTATTTTCTTGGCGCTCTGAGCACCAAAACCGAGTGCCATCTAGTTCCATTATATATATAGAAGGCACACATCTCAACGACAACTCGCATAAAAAAAATCTAGATAGATAAATAGCACCACAGGTAGGAGGATTTTGGGGTGAACTATCCCTTTAAGACTTTTTTGACTCTGTTTACTTCATGTGATGTGCACATGATTGTTCAGGTTGTGTCACCACTCTTAGATCCAAGTCATTTATCATTCAGTGGGTTCTCTAAGAATATCCCAACAAGCACCAAACGTTTCATTCATTTATACTCAGTTCTGTCCTTGGCCACTGCACACACCGACGATGGCCAGGACCATGAAACAGCTAGTTTTGTATCATCACAGTCCATCTGAAGGTGAACATCACTCTGTGTTACCACAGTGACAAACATAACTGTAGGTACAATGTCTGTTAGTTCAGTAGTGTCTACAGTGCAGTATAACATCTTGTAGCCATGGTACACACAAACTATTATATCTCCGAATTCGTTGTCATAGCATCTTCCATTTAATGTTCAGTTTCCCACTTTATATTTATGGTTGTTATTTTGTAAATATTTTCACTGGTGCTCCATTTAAAATTTTTATTCCTGTGAATTTTATATGATTTTGTGTTATTTAAAACTGGGTTTGGATAAAATGTTTTTTAAATATCCTGATTCAGCGTTCTGTTTCATTCTGCCTTAGATATACATGCATTACATCTCTTTCATCTTTGGTATTGTACAGTAATAGTAGCAGTTATTAGGCTCATTCGAGGTGAACTGCACCTCTCCTGGAAAGCGGATGCAATTAGTAGTAGTAGTAGTAGTAGTAGTAGTAGTAGTAGTAGTAGTATCAACCACACAAGATATGTTTGTTAACAGTTTAAACCTTCATTGTACAACATGAGACTAAGAGCTTATAATCAAACATTTAATATTACAATTACACAGAAAATTTTCTGCAAAATGTGGTGTTTGTTGTCAAAACTGAGAGCCAATCAGCTCTTTGATCAGGCGACAGTCAGGCATTTCCCATTATGCTCGGGGTCTTGCAGTTGCAACAGTGGTGGGTTGATGTTTCCATGTGTGCATGACGTCAGAGCAAGTTTGGATCAAGTCAGACAAATTTAATTGGCATGCACTGTTCAAGCATTCATGGGACGTGCCAGTACCCCAGTCTGCAGTGGTGTTTGGGTGAGTGCAGTGCTTCAAGTGGCATCCACATGAATGCCAGGACCAAAGGTTTCCCAGCAGAACATTGCATTTTAATCAGATGGTCAGAATGATTCACTTCGTCTGTCAGTGGTTTTAATGTTCTGGCCAATCGGCGTATTTTAATATTGAATGACATCTGCATGCATGGAAGGATGCTGCAGGCACCATTTCTGATATACAGAATGTGTAGATAGTGCATCAAACACAGACAATATGTAATATGAAAATCGAGTTCCTAGGGGCCACCATTGCTCTTAGCATTTATATTGTGCTAGACTTTGGATCAGAGGTATCGTGTTTTGATTGGATAGTTTGGAGTTTGTTCTAGGGTGTTAATGGTTTTTCTGCTTATGTCAAGACAATAGGCAATTTGTCTTTTGCCACCCACATCTATTCATAAACCAGAGACAGATCAGGTTGGACTGCGGCCGAAAAGTCAAACAGCAATTACTATAAAACACCTGAGGACCTTTGTGCTGCAGGTCTACACTGGGTGTGCCTGTAACTGTCTGTCTCTGCCTTTGGTCCTATAATCATTCAGGTGTTGTTTGACATAAGCTAAAATGACAGCCATCCCCATTTCTGTCAGTCATTCTTTTCTTTCCCTCCACCCATCATTTATCTGTCCTCACATGCCATAAATCACTCTCAGCCCCTGGGAGGAAAACAGCAAAATCAGTCCCTTGTTTTCTCTTCTATCATCCTTAATCAACAACTACAAACACACACCTGTTGCTTCACACAAGTCAAGGAATATGTCTTAAAGCCAAATTTCACACCTCACGCATAACACCATGCACTTTCTTAGAATATTTTCCATGTGTATACATAGACATACTTTCTTGTGTATTTTCTGTCCATCATTAGCATGTATTTGTATGTCTATTGCTCCAAGCTGTCATCTCTCATCACTTGTGAAAGAATCTTGCCCCAAGCAGGGGCGGGACTACTATTTTCTTTTTACCTTTCTGTGTGCTTTAACTTGTAGGTCTTCCATTCGTGTAGGTAACCTGAGGATCATGCACAGCACAGCCCAACTGCAGTGAGCCAGATTAACATTCAAGTCCATCATCCATGGATGAGAGCAGTGTTTCGGTGCTGTGGTACAGGACATCAAAACCCCTAGGGAAGGTGAGGCGAAGGGTTCAAGACCTCCGCATCCCCTCCTCCTCTTTCAGTGACTATAAAACCAACAGACCTGCCTTGGACCTGAGCCACAATGAGAGCGCTCGACTGGCAGTGGACACTCTGCTCAGCGGGGGCTTAGAGGAATACCACGAGGTGCTGAAGGCGGAGGGAGAAGTGGACTTTCTGTCAGATCAGGAGAAGATTTACATCCTGGAAAATGGGACCGATGGCAAGACAGGTTGTAAATGTTTGTTTTTACATTGTTGTAAATCATTTTGACAGTTTGTCTTGTTGTTTGCAGCATGTTGTGTTTAAAAGACCTAAGTTTCCTATCAGTTTGATTCATTGGATAAGAAAGAAGATGATTGCTTGTGTTACTTTTTATTGATCATAGCTTTATTCTTTACACAGCAGAACTTGGTGCATCTGATGATGATGATGATGATGATGATGATGACATAGACTTTGAGAACTCATCCGCTGGCTCCCAGACTGCCACACAATGTCCCACAGTGTCCACAGACAGTGATCCTACTGTGGCAGGTTTGGATCTGAGCAGCTGATAAAATATTACAGGAGTAGAAAACTTTTATGGAATAAATACTGGTGTAAAGTGCAATCTTTCTGGTGTTTTAACTCATAATATTAGAGGTGTTAAACTCCTGCAGAGACTTCTGTGTATCAGCCCAATGTACTTTTATAACAAATCATTATCCTCTCTCATTCGCTGCCATCTCCGATCATGTTTTTGTGCCTTTCAGGTGTGAAGTGGAATGATCCTGTCCTGGATGTGCCCTCCGCTGTGGTTTATTACCAGTCTGGCAGCAGAGCAGCCGGCATGAAAGACCTGGTCAGGGAGTTCATCAGAAAGGCTAGAATGGTTTGTGTGGATGTGTGAAGAGAGCAGTTTGTTTGTTTCTTCATGTGCCTGCATGTAAAAAAGCCATGCATGCCTATACATGTGAGGGATGATAACAGATGTGATATTTCATCTTGAGTGCTGAAATGTCAAATTCCCAGCGAGTGATATCTGGCTGTGCAGGTTTTTGTTGCAGGGGTTGACAGCTTTTGTGGCATGTGACTGTGTGTGTGTGTGTGTGTGTTTATGTGCAGGCCCTGGCCATAGTGATGGACAGCTTCACTGACGTAGAGCTGCTGTGTGACCTTCTGGAGGCGAGCAGGAAGAGGAATGTGTCTGTTTATCTGCTGCTGGATCATCTCAACCTGAAACTGTTCGTTAGCATGTGGCAGGACCTCAAACTCAACGGCAAAAACTTCCCTGTGAGTCCATTTCCATCCACCTGCCTGTTAGAGCCTGCATCAAAATTGTTGGAAATGTGTTTTGCTTTTGAAAACCTGTGGAGAGCCAAAAACATTTTGCATTACTTTGAAGAGCTCTGGTCCATAAATACAGTACTTCATTCTCTCCTTTTAGATAAAATAATCAAACCAGGTTTTAATTTTCATCCAAGTTCTGCCTTACATTTCTATTGGTAGGTGTTTCAGCGACAGAGCACTTCCCAAACACACCCACACGAACACAGCTTTTCAAGTTTATAAACTCACAAATCCAAAGCCTCACAGAGTAAAAAAGTTCAAATGTAACCCTAAGATTTAAAAAATGAAAAATTTGAGCTTTTTAGCTTAATGCTTTGAAAAATAAAAGGAGCTGCATTTAAGCTTTAGAACCCTTCATCCATCTTCATTAGTGTTATTTAGTCATTCTCTCCCTCAACTAACCAAAGAGCCACAGCGTCCCTGCTGCACACAGCACAGGTTACTGCTAAATGCAAACACGAGACACATGAGCCTCGTTTCCACCAAGCAGTCCGGTTCACTTCAGTTCAGTGCACATTAGAGGGTTATTTTTCCATTTACATGGTGAAAAGTTGTGGATGGTACCAACAGGATTGTTCAACACTGTCCCCTCTCTTTATGTATCATTTTGGCATATGGATTACTGTAAATTTATTATGTTGATCTGTTCTGTCCAACATCTTTTGTACGTCTGTCCGTCCTGTAAGAGGGATCCCTCCACAGTTGCTCTTCCTGAGGTTTCTACCATTTTTTTCCCTGTTGAAGGGGTTTTTTGGGGGGAGTTTTTCCTTATCCGCTGTGAGGGTCCTAAGGACAGAGGGATGTCGTATGCTGTAAAGCCCTCTGAGGCAAATTGTGATTTTGGATATTGGGCTTTATAAATAAAATTGAATTGAATAACCTCTCTGTTGGGGTACCCAGCACACTCATCTGACACTGTGAAGCTAAGAATACTGCTGTCCATACATGATAAGCACCATAGCCAGACTGTATGAGGTAGACATGTGCTTGTTGTGTCTCAATATACATCTGTTTTTTCACAAGCTAATCTTTGATCTTCAGCAGGATGTTGAAGCACAGGCACAATAGTCTGATCTTGGAAAAGCAGAGGAATTTTTGAGAATGCAGTGCTGCCACTGATGCATGTGACCAAAGAGAAGAGACATTACCTTTAAGTCTTTAGTCCCTTAAACTAATGTTGCAGTTTTTTTTAGTGCATGAATATAACTCAGCTGGGCGATAAAGATTATTTATCTTTATTAAACTTAACTGTCAAACCGCAGAGCCACAAACTGCAAAGACAAATTTAATTCATTCATCTTCTAACCGCTTCATCCTCTTGAGGGTCGCGGGGGGGCTGGAGCCTATCCCAGCTGACATTGGGCGAGAGGCAGGGTACACCCTGGACAGGTCGCCAGAATATCAAAGGGCTGACACAAAGAGACAAACAACCAATCACGCTCACATTCACACCTACGGACAATTTAGAGTTATCAATTAACCTAGTCCCCAATGTGCATGTCTTTGGACTGTGGGAGGAAGCCAGAGTGCCCGGAGAGAACCCACGCTGACACGGGGAGAACATGCAAACTCCGCACAGAAGGGCTCCCACACCTGGGATTGAACCGGCAACCCTCTTGCTGTGAGGCGACAGTGCTAACCCCACAAATTTAATTATTGATTAATATTTGCTTTCTTGTTTGTGTTTAGAAACTTTCAGTAAGCAGCGTCCAAGGACAGACATACTGTACCAAGACGGGCAGGAAGCTGACCGGTCAGATTGCAGAGAGTTTTATCATCACTGACTGGACTGAGGTGCTGACTGGCTCATACAGGTACACACACACACACACACACACACACACATGCAAACATACTAATCACATACTAAGTACATCTTGTTAAAATGTTTGTGTTCTTTTAAGTGTTTATCTAATGTATTTGCATTTCAAGTCTGTCTAAACTTTACCTTTGTCTCTTTTCTTTTCAAGTTTTTGGCTCTACCATTAACACGTGTGTGTGTGTGTGTGTGTGTGTGTGTGTGTGTGTTTGTGTTGTCTCCTCAGTTTCTCCTGGCTGTCCTGGCAGGTCCATCGCAGTTTTGCTGTTCTTATAAAGGGCAGCCCGGTCATACCTTTCCATCAGGAATTCCTCAGGCTGTACTCCAGCTCCAAACCAGTCCCTGGCTTTGTCACTTTTATCACTGTGCCTCACACTCTCCCTCTTTACACCACATCATGTGCAGCTCAAAATGCTAACACTGATGCCAGTGAATCAAAATCAAGCCCAACAACAATGTGCCACACGGCTCAGAATGGAGATGCTCAGAATACTCAGACCAAAGCAAAAATGCCGGTTTTATCCAGTCCACAAAGTGCAGAAATCTACCCAAGTGTGGATAATTCCCAGCCTCTACACAGAGCAGGCAATGGTACACAAATACATGAAAAACCTCAAATGTTGCACCCAAAACCTCCTGTTCAAGCAGAAACACTGCAGAGTGTATCTGTGGGAAAGCCAAAGCATACAGTGGGAGCTGTCTGCACACAGCATGGTGCACAAACTGGTGTGAAACCTCTGGAGAAGAATCAAAACCAGACACAGAGTCACTCAAACCCTCTCAGTCAGACTCAAGTCTCAAATGTTCAGTCTCAGCTCAAAAGCCTTACTATCACCACTCCAGGTGATAAGAAAAAGAGGGCTCAAGAGTCAAACCCTTTGCACACTGCTCCCCACACAAACGGACAGCACAGGAGTGTCAGCTATCAATCAGCTTTCAAGAAAAATCACGAGCACCACAATGTAGGTACTGAAGGTATTTTCTTTCGACAGAGGAACAGGGACAGACTCAAAGAGCCTCTGGGGATTGCTGCAGGTCTAAACACACAAAGACGACAATGGAACTACCTTTTTAACTTTAAACCACAGGTGGACTTTTTATCTGATAAACCCAAAATCCTGCCTCCTCCCACATCACAGCAGAAACAAGCAAAGACAGGCCTGCAGTTCCGTTTAACCCAACCAAGAGGATGCACATCTGGGCAACAAACTAAATTGTCCACTTTAGGACCCAGGAGGCAGGATCAGCCCCAGAGGAACCACCAACCTTCGCTCCCGTCACACAGAGCCACAGAGGCTCCAAGGTCAAAGTCAGCATCAGCAGCCACAAGAGCTCATTTTAAACTTCAGCTGCAGCCCGACTCCAAGCTGTTCTTACCAAGTACACATCTACAGCCCCACACCTCCCAGCAGGCGAGGCCCCCTCCAAAACTAAATTGGATGACCCAGAGTCGTGCTGAAAGACCCAGACCTGTGGCTCGCCACAACTCCTTCGACGCCACCTACGGGACAGGACAGATGTTGGGCGGACAGGTGGGCAGGAGGCCATTGCACAGCAGCATGAATACACCACTAAGAAGGAGCAAGAGCATGAATGACAGACACTCAACACGCCTGAATCCAAACATAACTAAGACCTGACAGAAGAAATGTAAGTTTGACCTTTGGTGTTATTCAAACTGACAAACTTGGACACATCTATTCACCCTCACACAGGCACACATATAATCAGGTCAATAAAACATCTGTTCATATGAAACATGCAGAATATTCTACTGTGTAAAGCTTCTGAAATTTATACTAAACTGGTAGGCACTGGCACTGGTATTTAAACAAAATTGTGAAATAAGATAAATGAATGTTGATTTAATTTTACAAAATAATCAAGGGTTTTGGTTTACTAATATGTTTTAAAATCTGTGAGCCTTCTCTCAAATATAGTGGAACTAGATGTCACTCAGCGTGTGCTCAGAGCGCCAAACAATACATTTAAAAAAACTCAACAGCAATGTCTCTTTACAGAAATAATGACTCAGTGGCCATATGTCTTTTTGATTTTTTTTTTGTGTGTGAACTGTCCCTTTAAAAAGATTGTGTGTGGGCAGAATATTCAGGGGATATTCTAGTGTTCATTTTTTTAACGGTTCTGCACACCCACACAGGTGTTTTCAGTTATTGACTGATTAGAGCTGCTCAGGTTAAAGCTGGGTGATGTCACTTCACCATAATGATTAACATTATATATCAGATATGACAGCACTAACAGGGAGGGAGACGTCAATCATGCAGCGTCTGAAGAGGTCTAATCAGGCAATTAAGTGAAAACATCTGTGCAAGTGTACCTCATGTTGGGGCTTTTATTATCCATGTAAAAGAAGAGAATAAACTCTCCTCTAACCAACTGCTCTTTATTATTCTATAATTTACTTTACAGCCGAGGAAATACTGTTTTATTATTCTGCTATAAAAACTGTTAAGGCTGTCTTTCTGTTACAGTGGAAAGTTTATTATAGTAAATGAAAAGGTGCCAGTCGTGAAGGATGATTCAGGGAACAGCTAACGTTGGAGGCAGACAGCTCCTTAACTGTGGCGATAAAGGCATAAATTCTAAGAGCCATATAATAACAGGCCTTTTTCATGGCAGACATTTGACTTGTCATAGCAGAGGCACAGGTGGAACTAATAACATTAATGATGGCTCTGCACAATAACACAGCACTGGAACAGGCACACCTATCATGCTTTTCCTGCTACGACATGTCAAAATGTCAGCTGGCCTATCATTTGTTTTCAGCACATTCAGGTTACTGATGCACAAAGTGAATTGAGACTATTTCAGGAACAAAAAAACAACATTTTATTAAAAACATTCTTAAGATATGAACGTGTTAAGGCATGAAGTGACATTTTATGAATAACATTCAGCAACTTTAAAATGTCTCACTTTGTTTCCTGTCTTAATGCAAAACAATCACTGACACAGATAATGTTATACAGTCTGAAGTGTACGACACATTAATAGGTACGTCTGACACTGTGAGATTAACGACGACTACATTCACCGTGCAGTTCTCCCCGTGATAAATTCTGTTACAGTTTAAGAGATTAAAAGTGATTTATACCTTTTGATTATTGTGCTTCTTTTGGTATTTTGAGATTGTCAGCATTCATTTTTGCATTTGACCTGTGTTTGTGTATTTCTACATGTATACAGACTTGTAGACTTTCATCTTGTGTTTCGTTCGTGCTTTGATGGATCTATACAGTGACAGGACCTTCGATATGTTCTTTAGTCACTTCCTGTCAGCCATTTTCTCTGTAAAACAGTCATCACTGGAGCATCAGGACTTTGTGTCTGTCTGCATCTGATGTTGACAGCTGTCAGTCTCCAGCACGCCAATCAGTAAGATCTTGTTCCACCAACGCACCCTGAAGCTCTGCACACACACACAGGCCAGACTCTCCCCATCCTGGTAGTCCTCCCTCATCTTCTCCGGGATCAGGTCCTCTGACATCACCTGGGAGATCAAACAGAGAGAAACTGAAACTGTGCTGCTGCGTAAAAACTGTCCGCTGACTTTAACTCAGCTCAAAACACAAGTTAACCCTAAAGTGTCAGGTTCTGACACAGCATGTATGAACAAAACTAGGAGTGTGTCTTCACCTCAGTGAGAGCCTGCAGGGATGTTTCTTTGGGATTCAGCCTCTGTAACAGCTCATCTGTCTTCTGTAGGGTGCTTTCAGTGCGCTGCAACACAAAGGATGACTGCTGCTGCCGGAGGATTCTCAACAGAAGTCTGGAGGACACAGAAAACACAAGGAGATATTTTAAGAGCTGTCGATTTCTTTTGTAAAAGTTTTCATAAGATTTTTTAAAGCCTACAAGCTCCTTTCTTTCAAGAAGTTTACACAACATCTGCACCAACTGCCCTTTCAGTGACTTTCAACTACTGTATATAACTACAGTGTGTAACGAATATTGGATTTTGTGTGCTGTGTTTATGTGACACATAGTATATGAAGCATAGAGGTTGCAATCACTAAGCAGTACCTTGTCCTGATGAAACAGGTGCAAGCTTTCAGCCAGATTCTGTTCTCCTCCAGCTCTGCTGCCTCCTCCTGTTGTTCCTCAGTGTCTCCATCATTCTTCCCTTCTGGTGATACACACCTCTGTGGGGAACATGATCCTGATAAAGGCGAACACAGCAGATCACATCGCATCATGAAAAAAAGGAGAGACAGAGAAAGAGCATTCATTCATCATAGCAATTTTCCTGCATATCTGACTTTTAAGAAGGGAAATGATCTCCATCCTACCTGTAGTCCGGTCGCTCTCCAGCAGCTGCAGACATGTCTGTCCCAGGTTGTACCAGTGCCAGGGGTTGAAGGGCAGCAGGCTGCACAGCTGCTGCAGACACGACATCTTTGATCCTACGGCTCCAAAATGCTGGTAGATGCTGACCTTCAGTAAAATTTTCAATTAAATAAGAATGTTGTTACATTTTCACAGAGAGATTTAGAGTCAACAAAAGGGAAAAAGTGTTTGCATCTGTGTGTGTTGTGTGTGTACTGGCTAACACTGACCTTGAGCAGCAGAAGGCCGGTCAGGTGACAGGTGTTGGAGGCTTCTTTGCTCTGGAGAAAAATCCAGTATAGATTACAACTGAGTTCTGGCCATTTTCTGAGCCAAAGTTTCTAGACAGATTTCATTTTCAGTAAATACAAAATGCAATTTGCTTCTTTGTAAAGTTTATCTATTGACCTCACAAAGGCAGGATCATACAGTTTGTACACATGCACCACAACTACAAAGGCAGAACTAATGTCTTTTCACAGGTAAACAGTAAACAAGCAAACAAACAGTTGCCTAATAACAGATATTTCCTGCTAGGTAACATACATGGTCACGGCAAAGACGCTTAAAGGCAAGAGCAAAGACAGCTGCTTTCAGGAGTGGTGGAAAGCTGAGTACTGTTTCACTTGAAGATTTAACAGTTGTGTTTCTGTCATTTTTTGATAACCCATATGATGCGAGAGGCAGCAGGCCCCAGGTATTTTCACATGATCTAATCTGGCCCCCATTGAAAAAAGTTTGGACAGTCCTGGACTGCAAAAACCGAGCTTCATTAGTGGACAATTTAAACCAGAAGACCAACAATAAGCAAATGCAAACTCCACTATCACTATTAAACTATTAGACCGTTATGTATAATAATTCAAAATGACAAGTATACCGAATTATGAAAAAGATCCCTGTTTGACAGCTGACTTTTAATACTGGAGCTTTCTAAGGCACATAAAAGCACCAACACATTCTCATAAAGCTGAAGCACAAACAGTAGGCAGTGAGTACAAACATGTTGTGAATAATAAGCAGTGGCTGCCTGGAGGGAAGATAAAAACTTAAAAAAAAAAAAATGTATAGTGTGCTGTAACACATAATGTACATACTATATATACAGTAAAATCCTCTACCTTATTACACCAGACAGAATATCCATCATGGGGAATTGTTGTTGTCTTTAATAATGATGTAAGTTAATGGCAGTAAGAGCAAACAAAAACATTATTTATATCAACAAAATAGCAATCAATGTAGTCATTTTGGATTTTTTTTCTTTAACACCAACATATTTCATAATACCAGCAGACTGTTCCAGTTGCAGCACGGTCACTGTTTTGCACGGAAAAGCTCATCGAAGAATTACCAGCAAGTGGGCCAACTCCAGAGCCCTGTCTCTCTGTCCCAGTTTGGTGCAGCATCGGGCCATTCCCTCCAGTACATCTCTTCTGATGGTCAGGTTGTTGTCAGCGATCCACTCCAGGCAGCTGCTGTATGCATCCAAGGCTTTCTATGTCCACCACACCATGAGGACAAAATGCAACAAGGCCTTTTATCATTACAATGACAATGAACGAGATATGAATGATATGTGACAACAGAGAACAGCATGGTCAAATCCAGTGTTGTATTTGCCTCCAGCAGCCTCTGTTGGTACTGTTACTGTAAACGTACTGAAAATCAAACTGTTGTTCAAAATACAGCAAATTACACCTGTGTTTAATATTTCAACAATTCAAATCTGGTTTTACTTCACTCAAGAATTTTGGTGTGATATGGCTGAATGTGTTTTCAGAAGTCTTTTTTATGTTGTCTGGGAAATGTCGCTGTGTAGCACGCTGCTAAATATATGCTTTTTGTGCTCTGTTGCATTTGAACATGTTCATGTTTACATTACAGGAACAAGTCACGTGACCAGTCCTGTTTGTTGTTATCTCAGCAGCAGCTCTACAGAAACATTCGAATGCTGGCCCATGATGACTGTGCTGCATAAAAGCTGGCTGATAATATGTAAACATCTGAAGGACTTTGAACTGAGAGCCTCTACTTATTTTTCTGTAACTCATCACCAACTTACAACTACGAATTTGAAATTAGAGATGATTGACTAAACTGAATGTTAAATTACCTGATAGTTCCCTTGTCTCACAGCTAAGTCACCTCTGAACTTGTAGACCTTCTGCTTCTCCAAAGGATCATCTGTGTCGAGAGCTGCACTCTCACAAAACCACTGCAGAGAGTATCAAGAGAAAAGATGACAATTTAAAAACACTTCATGCATTACTCATACACACACACACACACACACACACAAATATATATATATGTATATATATATATATATACACACACACACACACACACACACAAA